CCTCTCGTTACCGCGACCTATAAGATCTATTGTAACTTTAGCCCTCCAAAGGTTTAGGGCAAATGTAGGTCCTTAATGAACCTTAGTATTGTCCTAAGGTCTTGAACCTTTATGTCGGTAGGTAACAGAGTAGTTTTACCGAAGACGTTGTGCCTTAGACGTACATTTACAATTTGGCCCATTACTTATGAATCACCCTGTATATATATATATGATATGTATATACTTTATATGTATATTTCTTTTTGGGCAAATTAAATAAATAAATAAATGAATTTATTTTTGAGGAGTTTGAGGAAGCTCTTTTATCAAATCAGCCTGGGACAGCCTTAAAGCTGTTACTAATTAATCTAGGTGTACATCAATCTGCAAATTGGCGATGGAAAAGTCCATTTTTTCCAATATCATTTGGACCATTTTGAAATACAAATTCCAATGGAATCCGATGAGCAGGGCGAAAAATTTCAGCAAATACTTGCAAGTTGGTCCAACTGCTAAATAACCCAACCCAACCCAACTGCTAAATAATATTTTAAAATTTTCTTAAAAATAGCGATGTTAAAATACTCAACTGATCTACTGTACACAAAAAAAAAGTTTGCAGCACAATGTTATTATTGAAAATATCCATTATTTAATATTAAGATAAAATTGTAAAGTAATAAGTACCTGCTCGAGACATCCTCTAAAATTATTATAATGTCCAAAAAATGTATCAGAATCATTTCCTTTCCCTCCAACAAATAATCCAGAATTAATATTTAATTCAAAAAATCTTCCAGGTATATTTTTACTAACAGTAGCAAATTTATCAACATTCATACTAATATTAGCATCTCTTCTATCGATATTAACATCATGCCATTTGAAGTCATTTAATGCAGCATGCGATAAAAGTTCAGCTTCGCCCCCACCAAGATCAATGCTGACTTTTAGCTTTCCATTTTCAAGAGTGATCGTGCAATGATCGTTGGAGCCTGTGGCGAACAGTAATAATGCGTCCGAGAGTCTAGTTTTGAATTTGAAATGAATTGTTGTTGTGCTCTTGGCCTCTTTGAGGGGTATTGAAATGTAGCTGTTGCCGTAAAACGACGCTGCAAGGGTTACTATAAATAAACACCGGGGCGAATAAAGGCGAGGCTTTTGGAAAAAACGTACCTTGATCTAGGGTTGAGCACAAAGGCTGGAATATGCAATAGACGAAACACAAAATTAGAGAAACACGTCCCATTATGGCATTCTCGTTGCAAAAGTGACCCTTCTTTCATTCATGTCGCGCTATTTTCGTTGTTTACACCTGTTCAAAAAAAGTACAATCCGCGCCGATTCGCACTCTGCCCGGACTCCATTTTACTCCAAAACACAAACTTTACACTGTATTGAATTATTAGACATCTGGTTTACAATCCTTGCGTATAGGCAACACATTATCCTTTAGAAATGTCATGATACATTTAATGCTATATAAATTATAATTAATAACATTAAAAAGTATTTTAAAATTAATCGTAATTACAAGAAATGTATAAAATTATTATTAATTGATGAAGTTATAAAAGTAATGGATATAACACTATCTAGTGGGCAATAGAGATACTAATTGCTATACAGGGATTTTTAGGAGACTCCATCTATAAAGTTAGAGTATGCACTACTTCATTCAAATAAATGGGTGACACAGAATTGGGGAGGGATATCTGGCAACGTTGGAACGTTTTCGAGGGGTGTGATCGCTTTAAAGACTTAAAGAGGGGTGCAATAAGGGGTGCAAAAGACCATATTAAAAGAGAAGACTAAAAACTGATTTAAAATAAGATTTGAACCCTTATGTTTTGAGTACTACTAAATAGTTGATAACTTAACCAGAGATGCCGTAAACGTGGTGAATAAGACAGTTTAGTGGGTGAGAGCCTCACATACCAAGAATTAGCTATTCCTAAGTACAAAAAACTGGAATGGGTTGGATTTGATTTGGTTGACTTGGGTTGCATCAAAAAAACGCATTCAAGTCAAGGTGCAAGAATCCACAATAGCGATTAATTTGCATTCTTGAATATATCTCTCATAAAATAATCATATTTTATCCTAAACGAAGAGTATTATAGAACATGGCACCCTATGAAATCAACATTGCAACAAAATTGTTACCTTAAAATATTAATTAATATCCTTCGTAGTCTTAAAAGAATATCACAGAAAAACAAGAATATACACTAAGAGATGATGAAAATCTTTATTATATATTTTCGATTCCCACGCCACATCTTTATTATCTTAATAAACGCATTTTCTCGTTTCCTAAGATAGCTGGGTTAACTCGATTTTAATAGATTTCTAAATATATGTTATGATGTAAAGATAGATATTCTATAAAGATGGCTTTTTTTTAATATAGACTGATTAGATTAGTATTAAATGTCTTGCTGATCATTAATTATCAATTTATAGTGTATCCAATGGTATTATCCATGTAGTTATGGAATCTAAACAAAACGTATTTGTAATGGTTAATGTTATCAAAGGAGATGAGATGACTAATAGTTAGTGTATATCAAGTTTTGGAATCAATCCACGCTTCTTGAGTCACCATTCCAAATCAGAATTCATCTCCTGTATAAATACATATAATAATACAGGACAGAATATATTACATTATGTCACTTTTTTAAGTACAATAATAACATTTTATTATACTTTTTTTTTAATTATAAATATCAGGAAAACTATTAAAGTTAGACACATGACATACTTATCATTAATTAAAGGGAACTTTATGAGTAATTCAACTAGCATACAATATACAGGGTGTTCCATTTAAAAAACTTAAGAAAAAGCCATTTGAAAAACATCAAAAGTATGAACACGCTGTATAGCGTATCTAATATCTGTGGATACTATCATCTACCTATTGGCTTAAACTATTATCTGACTTAATTTCAAGGCAAAATTGGAAAAAATGTCGCTTTTACATCTCTCTAACTCACCCTGTATATAAATTTGATATTATTTAATATAACTATTTGACGAAAAAAAGTTGAAAGTTTAAAAAAAGTCCTCATTCATTTAATTTTTTATATGGAATACATAAAAAGTATAAAAACAATAGTAGTGTTAGTTTGAAATTTTTTTTAATTAAACAAAAAGTGGTTAAATATAATACATACATATATAAATAAGTACTTCTAGTGTTTCTTTCTTTTTAATCAGTAGTATGGAAGGGTATTATAGTAGATATAGCAGGAAAAGTGGGTTGACCCAGTGAGCGCATTGCGAGTTGTATGTTGGTGGGGGTTAGCCCCGTAAGTGGGGTAGCGTAACTCGTGCTGTGAACTCGGGGGAAAAACAAAACGCTCGTCACAGCGAGACGTTGTATTTTAGTAAAACTTGAATTGATTTCGCTATTTAAACGTGTATAACGAACAAATTGTTTATATATCACTAAAAACCTAAAACGCGCGGAATTAATAAATATAATAATATCGAAAAAATCAGTATCGTCTCGGAAACAAAACAGTTATTTTAATTAATATAATTAAAAAGAAAGGTTTTAAGTGAGTTTTGTTTTCTTTTTTAAATTAGTGTTTTAAATAAATGGAAGGGAGCAACGGAAGTTTAAACGAAGAGATACGTTCAGGATCTGGATCGATTTCGGGATGTGGATCTGGATTGAGAAACTCTCCGAAAATCGTGGCTTCTTCCCCTTCGATTTGTGCGGGTGCAAACAACCCTTTACAACGTAATTCAGCTTCGCCGTCGATACCTAAGAAAATAACGAGTAAAAATCATAATAATACCGGTAAATAGACTTCATTTGTTACTTATAGATTTATTTATTACTTATAAGTCCAGAAGTTGTGCAATAAATTTCGAAAATTCTTCGCAAAAAAGTAAATTGGCCAGATAGAAAAACCGTCGAATTGAAGTGTAACAAGAAAGTTTAGTTAGTCGTTTTTGCCCCGTTTCGTAAGGCCGCCTTTTTATTGTTGCCTTTTTTTCTCTCTCTCGTATTTCGCTGTTCAACAACGACGTCTAATTTTAAAAGGTGTTCGGGCGGGAAGGAAAATCCAAAAAATGTCTGCATTTTTTAACCATGGGCAGTATAATATAGTATTAGTTTCCAACGAATTAACTTCGATGGAACAACATTGGTACAGCCTCGGATGGTATCCGTCGTCTTCGACGTCGTCGTTGTCGTTTTTTTTTGCTGCGTCCGCGGCGGGCAACCAAAAATCCGGGGGTAAAAACATGAATAGTTGTTGACCATAACGAGTTTCGTATGGTCTAAAAACCTATTCGTAAAAACCGACTGAGGGTTTTTCATTCGGGACTGGTTTGAGTGATTTCTCATACCGGCGACTGGCTACTGAGCCTTCGCGTATTGTGTCGGGTGTTCTGTTTTTAAGATGTATCCGTCCTTATTTATTGGGCTGTTCGTCTTGCTCGAATTAAGTCCTTCGACGGAATACTACGTCCAAAAGGTGCTTTTATCTCTCCATTTTTTTACTACTTTACAATTATATCTACTTTGATTTCAGTTATCTTCTTAATTCTCTCATATTTATTAATTATATTATTTACATATTTACTTCTAATGAATTTTTTTATTTTATTTTTACTCTACATGTTTCGGTTGTTTTTCACCCATCATCAGGATTTATGATAACATTTTTAATCGTTTAAGATAACCCATTTCTATCTTTTTTTCAACTATTTTCCATTTGTATCATTGTTGCAGTCTTTAAATGATCCAATTGCTGCAAAAATAAAATATATATAACATCATCAAAAGAATCAATTTAGTTGCACACTAAATCGGTATCAAATCTGTTATAAAATGTTCTCTATTTCATCATTATATCCCAACCCGTTCTTGAGATATGATCTTTTTAACATTGTATTAATCATAACAATATATGACCATATGATATATAATCATAGCAAGGAAGTTTATCAAAAATAAGAAATTATTTATGGACCACTAAATCTGTATTAAATTTGCTTTGAAATGTTAGCTATTTCATTATGATATCTCAATTTGTTCTTAAGATACGATTTCTTAAATTTTTGTTTTTTAATAAATTAAGATGAAGAGTTAAAATTAAAAGATCATAACAACGATGTTTATAGAGAATAAGAAATTATTTCTGGCACATTAAATTTGGTTTAATATCTTGTTTTATCATTATATCTTAATTCGTTCTTAAGATACGATTTTTTTAATTTGTATTTCGAAAATTTATAACAACCTAACCTGCAGGGTTAAATATAAAAAATCATAACAACGGTCTTTATGGAAAATAAGAAATTATTTTTGGCATATTAAATCTCTATTAAATTTGCTTTAAAACGCTCGTTATTTCATCATTATATCACATCCCGTTCTTGAGATATGATTTTTTTAACATTGTGTTCGTAAAATTTTAACAAT